TTCACAGCTAAAATCAACATTATTTCACAAAATATGCACATAAAAATGCATATTTACTTTAAAAAGGGAAATGCCCAAAAGAAAGGGAAATACCAAAGCATATTGCAGTCTGCTTGATAACAGAAAAAAGTAAATCATCACTGCTTCCTAGGAAGCAGGGCAATAAAGTTATAAATATCTTATTACAGCTTGATAATAAATTTTTATGTTGAAATTTTTTCCAGAAAGAATTACATTCTTTTGACCACTCTTCACATAGGTTTCTTTCAGGAACATAACTACTTGCACACATAGCTCAATATCAAGCAGAGAGACAGAAATCAATAGTGAATAAGACAAGTGAAAAGAACAAAGTACTAACATGGTTTACTACAAACCACTTACATAAAAATTCCACAATTAATCTCTTCTCATAAATATGGAATAAATATAACCATGGAAGTATGAAATTTTAAATTTTGTAATGAGTGGATATCTAAAAAAAATAGAATCTTAATATATGCAGCTTTAAATCACTGTATTCATTTTGAAATTTTGCCTGGTGGAACACATCAAAGTAATTTAAAAAACAAAATCAAGTTTGTTGAGTAAGAAGAATAGGCTTGCAGCATAATTTGAAGCTCAAGCATGGGCCCTGATGAACAGCTGTAGGGGAAAAAAAGAGTTCTCAAAGGCAATGACCACCACAACTATGTCTTTCACTCTTCTAACACACCATAGGAAAAGCAGCAGTCTCTTAAATAACTGGATTCTACATTATACAACAATTAAACACCCTTCACATAGGAAAATATCCTCTATTTCTAAATCTACATAATAATCACTTTTCCCTATTCAACATCTTTCCCATGATTATATGTGTAAATGCTAAGAAAAATGCCTCAGCCACAATTCAGTTGGTTATGAGTAGATTTTAATATCTAATTAAGATGGGTCAGTATTTCAAAGAGACACTAGTAGAGATTAACTGAATGATACAATAAATGGCATTGACTCAAGTGGCAGCAGTATTTTCTTTGGGTCTAGAACAAAGTACTATCCTATGCAAGAGTTAAAAATGCTTTCATCCACTCTGTCATCTTGAAGAATGTCTTTTATTAACGCAACACAGACGCCTGCCAGGGTTTTCTTATCACCAGAATCAATGCTGCTTAAGGTGCTATATTTCAGATGTGACCTTACACCCCAGTTCTACTTTTGTTCACTGTGGGGCCACATTTACAAGAAAACTTGGCCACCAAACCTTTTATTAGTATTTCTGTGGAAGAGTTTCTTTCTTTTCTGTTATGCCATATTACTGAGCTCCATTCAGGGGTCTGCATCAGCAGAGGCCATATAAATTCTATAAATAGTACTTGGTCCTGAATATCCTAATCATAGATGTAAATATATGTGTCTTATGAGACTGGTACTGTCTAATAAGTTTGTAAAACACACAGACATTATGAAACTGTAACATATTATTATAAAACATTTACATACTCAAAGACTGCAAAACAATAGGATTTCCTTACTATGACATATTTCCCTCCCACACTTGAAAGCAAAGTAAATTAACATATCATCATACTTCATGCATCTAACATCAGCTCTTTAATACAGTTTATAAAACACAACAAAAGTTGTCAATCTCAGCAATAAGTCAGAATAAGTGCAAAACAAGATCCTTACTAAAACCATCTGACATATGGATTGACTTTTCAAATAATTAAAGGCTTAATATGCTTGCCATTTACAAATCAAAATCAACTGATATGATAGGCTAAAATCTAGTAGTTGATCTTCTACCGGTGAAAAAGAAAGGAAACACTTTCCACTTCTGAGAATGTCAAAACCAAGGCTCTGAGTGGGCAAGGCCTTAGAAGTACTACTTTATTCAGTATGTTACCATCATTCCTTCATCCCATCATCACAGCTCCTGTTTCTAAAACCTAAGAAATGAGAATGGATGCATCTTCAGTTTGAACATTTTATTCTGCTATACAATGTAAATGGTTCATTAGGGAAGGGGTGTAACAACAGTAACTCCTAATTTTCTCTAAGAATAACAGGGTGGTATGTGACAGTGGAGCAACTATATAGCTCCTCCCCAGAAGCTTACAGAGGCTTCTGTTTTCATAATTAATAGCTATTGAGGTGATTACCTTAAATATTATGAGATTTTATGGTTTCAGTAAAATTGTATTTATTTATTATTAAAATCTTCCGCATAACACACCAGTTAAAGCAGAAAATATTTGCATGTTCTGTAATAAACTCAAACTAGGCTAGGGTTTTAACAGCCTAGAATATCATGTGTACTGCCCCTGTCACGTGTCAATAAATGTACAATCACTATTCAAAAGCAAAGTTTCTGAACTGATAGTACTCCCAAGTGGTCATATTAATTTGTGAACAAGAACTGCTCTTTATCTAACTGTAAATATTTAATCCAGCACATTTAATCTAAACCTACCTGATTCCACTTTCTAAGTTTAAAGCCTGATTTTAATCCATTGAAACTGAAGCAATTGATATCCTGAACTTCATCCTCATTTCTCTAAAAATAGTTCTCCTTGTTTTCTTCCCATGTATTCCAGCCTCAGTGGCCTCACAGTTCTGTTTCTTCATGTTGAGATCACCTACGTTTGCCTCTTTTGATTATTTTGTCTGCATTATTTTGCTTCCTTTTAAAAAAGTGTAATGAAAGTGAAAGTATACAGGGGTTTGGATCATCTCCTGATGTGAGGACAGGGGAGGAGAGGCCAATGGCCTTCAATCCATTTTTGAACCTATAAAGTTTTCCTCTACGATCATTATGCAGTAACAAATTTAAATCTACTAACAAGGCTGTGGGTTGGGGCTTTTGTTATTTATTAGCTGACACGAGACTCTGAGAAACAGTCTGTGGAGTGTCAAAGAACCCCTGTATCAAAGGTTAAAGACCACGGAACTAGATCCTGAGTTATGGAAGGGACATATATCTCTGTAATACTGTAATTTATCCATCGTGTGGTAAGTAATTTTGCACTTTTTACCAGTTCACTGACAGCATAAAGCACTGAATCATAAGAATTTTGTATTCCCACATTGACAAAAAAATTCAAAATTTCCTGCTATAAATAACCAACAATTTACTTGTAATAAACAAAAATGTTTCCTAAAAACACATGTATGAAATGTATATTTCAAAAAATTTTCAAGCAATTGTTAATTAATTCTGTTTACAGAAATGGTTTTATGAAAGTAGTTGTACCAAAGAAAGAAAACCTTCAAAATAATTCTGAAATAAATGAAGAATCTTGATTATCCTGACTCCATCTCCTAACAACCTCAAAACAAAACAAACACTCAACATAAAGAATGAGGTTTATGTTTAGGTTCCAGAACAAGGGAAAAAGTATTTCTAACACAAGCATTTAGGTGGGCCAGTGTCTTTAAACAAGTTCTGAGACAACCGTGTAAACTCCACGTTAGCAGAGGTACTATACAATTTGAATTACAGGGTTTGAGTGACACGTGCAGCTGCTGCCAGCTTTTAGTTTTTTAAAGAATAAACTCCTGGAAAACATTCAGGTTTTAACAAACAACTACAAGATCTTCGTGGCAGGATCAGTGGCCAAAAACCTTAGAGACCTATTAAAAATACCCGTTAAAACAGTCAGCTAGAAAACACCGCTTTTTATTATTTTAATCTCTTACTTTAAAGGCAGGCAGCATAAGCATTCAGCGGGTAGAGAGCAAACTTCTTACCTACCTCCCAACAACTAACTGTGTTTTCTCTCTACTTTTCTTTGTATTTCTTTTCTTTCTCTTAGATTTCAATTAGAAAAATGTAAGAGCTCCCATCACAGCTTTCCTAGAAGACTAGTTCAAGGGAAAGCAAGATCTAGCATGAAATGACAGCAGCAGATGCAGAACTGCTCAGCCTGTCTTATGTAATTTGCAAGCCTAAATGTCAAGCCAGTCAACACTAATAACAAAGTCATGGCTTCTTAGACCTCCATGTAAATCTGTACTCTGTCCCAGCACCTCACAGAGACGGAATGGTTCCTTTCAAACTAACCTTAGAATTCAAACCACCTTCCTGAAAAGGCATTGTTACAATCAGAAAAGCACCTCCGAAGTATTTAATGAAACCATAATAAAACAGTCCTCAGAAGCACATTAAACAAAGTTTTCAGCACAACTGTATTTTAAACAACAGTGGTGATTTGTGGTGGTTCTGAACATCTTTTGTTATTTTTATTATGTTATCATTCAAAACGATACACAAAGCAGTAGTTTGTACAAACAAGATGATTTGTATATCTAAAGCAAAAGTAATTTCAGTCTCTGAGCTCCTGTATAAAAAAAAACCTAAATCAAAAAGATGCTGTTAGATACCCAACTCTATAAGAATAAAGCAATTTCTGACATGTGTCATCTAAGCATTTCACTCTCCTCATGTATTATTCACAGAGGTTATGCACCAAAGTCTGTTTATATATGCAAATCCAAAATTCTATTACTACCTGAAAACTAATTTGAACGCTTCTAGAATTAAAAATAAAAGGAGCACCTTCCCTTATTTCATACACTTGGCCCTACAGCCACTTGAACTTGAGGGAGGCCAGATAAAGGAAAAATTACTTTTTCTTCTGGCTTGGCAAATTCATGACTACAGGTAAGGTCACAGAAATTTGTCTTTCAATTTTTGGTTTACAGAGAGGATTGGGTAAGCAAGTGATAAACAACAGAAAAAAGTGTTTGTAACTATCTCACTGCTGAAAACCAGCACTATCAAGTGGCAGCGATGAGAGTGTCTTAACAAGATTATTATTGCCAAAAATATGACAAATTTAGTTCTCCCAAATGACAAAATGGTAGCAAGACAAAAAATAATATAGCTAGTATGTCAGCTAGTATGTCAACTCCAGCTGTGTTCAAAATGTTTAAACACATGAACCTAATAAAACTCAGTTCTGAAAAGACATCTTAACTGTGAGGGGTTGGGTGTTCTTTTTGGATGAGGAACTCACCCAGACTTCAAGTCTGTAATCCGTAAACAATTAGTAGCATCTAGTCCTACTTTTCCATTTCTGACCACACTGGAAATGAAGGGCGAAAGTGCTGGAGAAATTCTGTTCAAGGCCACTTCAGGTGACATTTTATTATGTTCCTCCTTCCTTTAGTCTTGAGCTGCAAAGGTAGAAAACAAAATTAAAAAATATCCTACTTATTTGATGGAGATTCACATGCACTCTGCAACCATCAACAGAAAAAAAGCTAAGCACACTAAAGATCAGGAGTGTAGAGCAACTGAAGTGTGTGCAGGTTTATAGAGAAAAAATAAACACAGGTAGGTTTTTTTCTTCCCCCCTCTGCAACATTCAATGAAGCCTGTTTATTCCGTATCAACATAAAGCCAGAATTATGTCCTAGGCACCTTTAATTAAAGCCCTAACCCTCTGAGAAAGAGACATAAAATTGAGGGCCACTCTGACATTCACAGCCTAGCCCTTCTTGTGGGCACTCCCAGCCAGTGTGTAATTGACAAGTCACACTTGTTCAGCTTCCCCTGAAACCAGTGGAACTTACATTAACTGCAATGGGCCCAGGGGTTTGATACCTCTCTGTATTCTCACCTGCAATTTCTAGGAGCATTAGTGTGCTTATAATCAGTATTACTTTTATACTACTACATTAGGTAGCAATTTATAGGACTTCATGATGCCTTTTAAAAGCTAACACTGCTTCTCTTTCAGTGGTATCACCACACTCTTTGAAAGGCATCTTAATCTCCCTTCACATAACAGACTCGGAAGCTGATGCACACACATTTTAAGCACAGCTTATTCAGAAAGGCTTGCAATTGCATGACCTTAATCTAAATCAGTTAGGCCATTAATTTAGCACACTTTAGGAACATGTTGCTTTCTAGGTGAAATGAAGAAACTCAGCATACACACATTTTAAGTCATTGCACCACGAAAAGACTAGAGTACATGGAAGACAGCAGACTGTGGTAGAAGAAGTGGGAGAAAAGAAGGGTAACCAACGTATTAAAATGTTAATGTATTTGATCACATTCTAAGGCACAGAGCTTCATATGAAAATTAACTGAACTTAGTAAGTTAGTTAATTTTGGAAAACAAGGCTGTAAATGACTGAAGATAACATGAACTTGCCACTGTTAAGTGGGACAGAAGAGCTCGTACATAAACCCTCATCATTAAAAAATATTTTTAAAAATAAGCATTTAATTGAAAAACACTAATACACACTGCATTCACTTTCTTAAAAATGCTGCATATGGACTGCTGTATTAGTAACTGTTCTATAACAAGAGTGTGAACAACTCATGGCAATAATTGCAATTTTCTGTTGTTTCTCACACTCAGTTTACAAACATTAATTAGTAACTAATGGATATTCTACAGAATCTACTAAATCTCTGTAACTGGGAGCAACATTAAATTTCACATTCTGTTCTCATGAAAGCCATTCACACTGGAGTAGCAGGAAGCAATGCTCAAGAGTGTTTGTCCTAGATATTCAGAATGTATCTTAATAAAGCAAAGGCCAGACACTTTAAGGCAAACAGAAAGACTAATAAAGTAAAACTTCCTAAAAACAGTAATTATCTTTAATACACTGGCTCCTACATTTTATGGCAGTGAAGAAGCTGAAGACTAACTATCCATGCCCTGACACATAATGTGTTCTCATGTATCATTTGTCTAATTGACAATGGAACAACTTAAGTTTGTTTAGCAAACACCTACAGCAATTTAAGATACTACCTCCAGTTTGCTACTTTTCTACGAAAAAATTCTGCCTGCTCACCTTTATTCTTCCCCAGAGGGACTGAGAGAACACAAGCCCATACTTGACAAATTTCAATGCAAAGTCCAATGGCTTGGATTGAACCGCTAATAAAAATTAGTTTAAGCTAAAATACTTTGCACAAGAGTGGTTACAACAGGACACATACTTCAGTCTGCCAGCCCTGCTGCAGGGAAGAGTAATTTCAAGCAGGGGGCAGCTGGACTGATGAACTTAAGAATTTCTTCAACCACGAGAACATGCCAAAAAACAAGCTATCCTTGCAAACCTCAAGTTATACATGAAGATCGCAGAATTGGTTCTGATAATGATACATTTTAAGGGGACTGTGTTATGAGGGTGAAATTGTGAGACGTGATACAGCTGGTGATCACAGCAGAACAGATGCACCTTCCAAAATGAACCTTAAAATGATATTCCTTCTCTTTTAGTTAATAAAATTTGAAGATATTGTCAAAACAAGATTTAAATGACTGTTAGGCATTTTTCCGTATTTTATTGCATCAGTTTTAAAAATCACAATATCTTCTATTTAACAAGACAGATACACAATACTTAAAGGGTTACTATCAAGTAAACTCACTGATTTATTTTGTAAACAAAGGGCTTAACAAACTAAAACACGATTTGTACCAGTTTCCTGGTAAGTTTCAGTTGTCATATACATTTTTTTTCCTCATCTTAAGTTTCCCACTCTACTGGAAACTGAACACAAACAAACTCAGGGGAATTAAGAAAAACAAAATTCACTGGACTGTTTCCCTCCTAAAACAAAACCTTTGAAAGAAGCAAACAAACTAATAGTTGAATCCCCTTAGATTCAGCTGGCTATCACTGTGACTTCGGGCTAATGTTACACAGGCTTCACAGTAACCATGAAGTCCTGGGCACTGCTTCGGGCACTGGAGAGAGTCGGGATGCAAGATACTCTGTCCTTCCACCACCGGCTGTACCATAACGGGGATCACGATTAGATTTAAAAAGCAAAGGTGAATATGGTGATGGAGACCTGGAAATGTGACAGGACCTCTCCTAACCCTCTTGGCGCGGCCGTCGGCAAGCTGGTTGTGTGGTTTTCACTTTGGGGGCGGGTGGCAGGAACTTGTGTGTGGGTATGAGCGGGGAAAGGAGGGGACCCACGACCGCCGCCTCCTGCAGCCGTGCCCGAACACATCCATGGAATGCGATCAGCAGTGTGGATCTGCGGAGCCCCGGGTAAACGCCGAAGTTACCTAAGCCCTGGCACAGAAGAACGCTCAGAATCCCAGAATGGGTAAGGCTGGAAAGGACCACAGCGGGTCACTTGGACCAACCCCCCCTGCTCAAGCAGGGTCATCCTAAAGCACAAGGCACAGAATTGTGTCCAGGCAGTTCTTAAGTCTCTCCAGTGATGGAGACTCCACATCTCTCTGGACAATCTGCTCCAGTGCTCGGTCACCCACAAAGCAAAGAAGCTATTCCCCAGGTTCAGGGGAACTTTCTGTCCATCCACTCCCGCTCCGGGCTGACCCCGGCCAAGCTCCGCTGCCTCCCCAGCTGGTGCCGCCACCCGCGGCGCTGCGCCCGCCCCGCCCCAGCGGCAGTGCTAACACCGGCCTCCGCCGGCTCTGGGCCAGAGCCTCCCGGCGCCGGGTCCCCTTCCGCCCGCCGCTGTCCCGGGAAGGGCCGTGGCGCTACTCGCTCCCTCCCGCTCTCCCTGCCCGGCTCGTTCGCCCCATACCGCCCATCCCGGCCCCGCCATTACCTACGGCGGCCGGAACTCGCCGCTTGGCAACGGCGTGCACGCCCCCGCGCCCGCCGTGCGCGCCCCCGCCCCGCCGCGCACCGTGCGCGCCTCCGCTCCCCCCGCGCCGCCGCCGCCGCCGCCGCTCCCACCCGGGCCGGAGGGGTCTTCACCGGCCCAACATTGGCGTCCCCCGCAAGTGCCTGCGCGGGACGTGCCGCCGCGCAAGGCGTGGGGCGGCGGTTCGGTCGCGGCCGGACCGGCGCGGGGCAGAGGGGAAGGGAGCGTTCGTGGCAGCAGGCGTTTGGCAGGGACAGCCCTGCCGGGCGAAGGTCCCCTCGAGCAGCCGGTCGCCCATGGCAACCCGAGAAGCCGCGGCGGGGCCCGGGGCGGGTCAGGGTCAGGGTCCAAGGGCCGCCCCGGCGCCATGGCCGCGGAGGTTGTGGTGGTGGGATCCTGTATGACCGACCTGGTCAGGTTAGTACTGAGTGGGGTTTTCTGCCCGCACTGGGCGGAGCGACCCTGAGGTCATGAGAGCGCAGGGCGTCACGGTGCCCGGGGAACAGCGCAGGCACGCCGGGCCTCCCCCGGGCCAGGCCGAGCCGGAATGCGCCCCGGGCCGAGCCAAGCGGGTGTCACGTCTCTCCGCAGGCCGGGATGGCAGAAGCGGGGTCGGCGCCAGGCGCGGCGGGCGGAGCGCTCGGCCCCGGACAGAGGGAATCGCGGCTGCGGCAGAGGAAAGGACTGAGCACAGCCGCAGATTGCCCAGACGGGTCATGGAGTCTCCATCACTGGAGACGTTCAGGAACGGTCTGGATGCAATCCTGTGCCACGTGCCCTGGGATGACCCTGCCTGAGCAGGGAGGTTGGAGCAGGTGACCCACTGTGGTCGGTTCCAACCTGACCCATTCTGGGATTCTGAGACTCTGAAGGGGGGCGGCTGCACCCGGGTGATGTCAGCTGCAAATAGTACTTTGAAAGAAGAATATGGGAACAGGGAGAGGTTTGAACGTGTTGCGTGCCGGAGCTTTGATCATCTGTCTGTGACTCTGGAGAGAGGAGAGGCTTGGGTTTGTGTTTTCAGCTGTGCCGGGTGGGTCGGTGTTGCCTTTGGCCCGGGAAGCAGCATTTCGTAGGCACCCGCACGGGAAACCTGGAGCTCTGATACTCGTTATCAGCAAAGGATTCTGAAACGACTTCATGGAAGTAAATAAAGCTGGTCAGCCGTTACACTTTTTCCCTTCAAAGCACACTTGTCTCCACTGAAAAACCGAGAAAGGTTAATATTGCAAAGAAACCAAAGTTAGCTCCATGAATCGGTAGGTTGCAAGTTGATTACTTGCATACAACATTTCGTGTGACAATTTGAAATGAGGTTAAGGGAAAGGAGAGGAGAGGGAGGGCCTCCCAAGGTATTCAAATCCAAGCATACCAAGAAATGCATATAGGAAGTCCTCAAAAAATTAGCAGCTCTGTACCCCTAAGCTGTTTTTTAAATTATTTTAAGTTTTAAAAATTAATATCTTAATTTATCTTTATTCATTTTCTGAGCATTTTACTTTTCAAATTAAATACTTGGGTCTCATTGTCTTTTTTTTTTTTCTTTTTTTGTACATAGGTAAGATTTGGAAACTTCTCTTAAAAAGTGAAGTACAGAAGTTCATGAAAGCTCTTGGTTCCAGTAGCCTGGGCTTTGTAGTCAATACTAAATAACAGGAGAATTCAAGCAAAATTGCAAGAATTCACGATACAAAATCTGCCCTGAACTGGCTGGCCTTGTCAATCCCAGTAAACTTGCCAATCAGTCTTTGATTTGCCCTATTTTAAACACATTTCCATACTTTATATGCAGACTTGGTTAAAATAGGATTTAAAGTGTATGTATCTGGACTGCATCAGCTTGTCTGCTAGGAATTCTGCAATTAAAAAAATGTCCTCTATGAACAGACAATTGCACCAAAGCCTATGGGTCAAGAAAGTGCAGAATACGTGAATAGAGGAACATTCTAAGGAGTGAATACTGCTTAGGCATAGACTCGTGTTGCAGAAATGATGAAGCCCCTTAAATAATCGTAGAACCTATGGCAGAAAGATTTAATGCTGTGTGTAATTTGCAGAACACACTGGCAGTTATCCAAGGCGAATAGTTGTCTTGTGATCAGAGTAAGAACTGTGGAACTGATCTTGATGTTACGTGTGAATGAGCTCTCAGATGCTTATGACATTGCACTGAGATGTAAAACTTGGTGCTCTAACCTCAAGACATTCCTTTTCCTGTCTGTCTAAAATGTGGGGGGAAAGTAATAAAAAAACTGTCTGCCAGTTTAAGTGCTGCTTACAACTGCAGCTTTGGGCTCTTCTTGCCACTTAAACAAACAAACAAGAAAACTCCTTACTTTTTTTTTTTTTTTTTTGGACTGCAGAGTTTATACCATGGGCTGGAGTGACAGATGCTGTTAGACTGAGATTAAGTGGCTGAAGAAAAGCTGTTTCACTCTTCAATCAGCTGAGAGGGTTTCGTAAAGTGTACAAATGCTGTCCCATATCTGACTCACCATTTTTAGCCTCTTCTTTAAGGAGCAGTGAAGAGCTTTTTATAAGTGATAAGCTAATCCACTTCAGTTGAAGCAGATTCTTCTTTCTGTTACTAGCAAAGAACTTCAGGCACTTAATAAAATAAGAAGAGTGTGTTTAAATTTAGCTGGCAAAAGTTTAATCTGACAAAAATTTCCATGCAGTACCTATGCAGACATTGTTTAAATGTATCCTGGGTTAGGAAAATCCGGGTCAAATCACCGGAAAGTACTAAGCAGTAGGCTTGATTGTGCCTAGGTGGAACAGGAAACTATAAACAAGCTTTATGAAATATAAAAACTGTCAAGTTAGGGTTAGGATTAGGTTCCAGGAGCATAATTCGTGACTGTCTTTGTATATGCAATTTAGAGGGGGCCGCATCTTCTAGATCTAAAGCTGGGGTTCATTTCAGCTGGAATGAAGAAGCATTGAGGTTTTGTGAGTTTGTCATTTGTGCTGATGTTTCAGTTTATAAAAGACATGGACAGGAGTGATCATGTTAAATGCCTATCACCCATTTGGAGGAGCCTGAATAAATTTTTGAGAGTTACACAGAGGAAGCCGGACACATTTTTGTATACATTATGTTTAATGGGCATATTCACCACTCAACACTAAAGCCTGTCTTTCTTAGAAGATAATAATATTGATTGAGACTCTGCCAGAGCTAGACAATGCTGTGTTGTAACCTTGGCCCTCTGGAGAGCTAGAAGCTCAAGGTCAGACTTGAAATGGTAGTGGCAGACTTTAAATGTTAAGCATTCCCAAGAGGCAAGGTAGAGGCAAGGTACCAAAAAGCTCCAAGCCATCACTGGACATATGGTAGCTAGATTCACCATGAAGAGAAATTAGCATATAATGTTTTTACTGAATACAGTAAATTAATGATTGAAAGAAGTGTAACCTCTGTGTGAAATGGAAATGTACAGTTTGAAATATGCTGAATCTTATGTAATGACCAAGACAGAAAAGGACAGAGACCTTTGGTTGGAGACAGATACTTAGATACAATTCTGCGAAATAATCAAATTCAGAAGAAAGGATAGGGTGTCTTAAAATTCTTCTGAAAGGAAGGGCCCCAGTGGTTTGCTTTTAAAACACTGTTCTCATTGGAAATTCTCTTCTCATTGTCCTGTAGCGCTGCAGTGGCAGAATGTGGGTTTTCTAAAGTGAATTTCATATGATCAAAACAGCCTCATGTACATACATGCAGTAAACCACACTCTTTGGCTTAATAGGACTA